GACCCTGACCCTAACCCTTACCCAAAACCTAAACCTTAAATCTAAACCCAAACCCAAAACCGAAACCCTAACCCAAACCGAAACCCGAGTCTTCGACCCTTCTAGTAAACTATTAACAAGATGTAATTAAGACAAATAAATTAAATTCCAACTTATAATATGAATTTGATAGAAAATTAAAATTAAGTTTTTAGATAAATCAATATTGATCGTCTTCCCAATAATTTCACAACACTATTCAAACTATATCCCCAAATCTGTACCGAGCACAAGTGTAACTTATCCTTTCAACATGTTATGAATTACCACACAAAAATATCACGGTCTGAAATACTAATTCATCTAAGAAGCAAGGATGTGAAGAAATAATAAATAAAAAAGAGGCGAGATAAATTAAATTCTAAAATTGATGATTTGATAGTATTCGTGTTCTAATATTAATAATAATAATAATAATAATTTTAAATTAATAACATCCATCATAAGGAACATTATTCCCATCATCACAATCCTCATATCCTTAAATGATAACACCATAACTACAAATTGGTAAGCATTATTTATTTTCTAGTTTAAGATTAGCATCTCATTTTAAACATGAATGAAGATCAATACATTGTAAGCAATAAGGCATGCATTCATTATTAAATTTTTCATCCATCTCTTCATCATTTTTTTTCTTCTTCTTCTACTACTTCTTTTTCTTCTTCCTCTGGTTCTATTAAATATATAATTTATTCTTGACAAACATGATAACAATAATTTTATATAGATCCCAACATTCTTAACATAATCTTAAATCTTTGAAAATATCTAAAGTAGATTTAAAGTTAAGTCATACTATTACTAATTATTTCTTAAAATACTAATTTAATCTAAAAGTATGCAAATTGTCTAATCAGCAGATAATGTTTATGAAGGATTGCATTCAAGGCAAATTCCAAATTAACATAACAGACAATTTAGGTACAAGAATACATGCATAAATGACATCCATCATAAGGAGTTTAATTTCCGTCATCTCATTATTCATAGATGGTTTTTTAAAATCTCCACAAACTGGAACACAAAGTCTTAAGTTACTTTTATATTCCCAACCATCTTAGCAGTCCTTGCATTCACCTTTAATACAATTGCTACAACCTTCAATACAATCATAAACATTTGAAAAACAACCATCAAACGCAAATATATTATCATCAGTGCATATATTTTAAAAGTAACTAGATGAAATTTGCATTTATATTCAATTCTATGGTTATTTAAACTGACTAACTAGTATGTGTGTATTAATGAATTTTAATATTCTTCATCTGCATAAATCCACAAAGTTCTTGATAAGAACTAACATTTATCCATCCATTTAAATATTCTGTTGTATATATAACTAAAATTATAAAAAAATTAAAATTAATTTACACCACTTTATAGAAGTTAGAAAAAAAATATTGATTTTAATTAAGCAGCACTATCACATTATCAATTTTTGACAATATTATAAGGTTTAAATCAAAGATTAACACGTTTAATTAAAAGCTTTTGGCAGAATGTTAATCAAGTTCGAGGGTTTTGATCAATTCAATC